GGTGGGGGTGGGGTGGGGCGGGAGTGAGCGGGGAGCGAACATGGGGAATCTGGTCTGATCGGAGGAAGGAGGTGGCTTTGGGCTTTATCAAATGGGTTTCCTTGGCCAGTGGGACTCCTGAGTCTTGGCTCCGAGTGGCCAAGAAATGCGAGGGTCACAGGACAACGTGCCTCCAGAAGCACATCCGAGTGGATCAAAGCCCCAGGCTCGGACGGGGCTGAATTGCTTTCCCACTAACCTGTGGGCCCCTCTGAGCATTTAATTTTTTGGAGTCTTCGGTTCAGAGAATGCACCGGGTGCCTTCACTCGCGGCCCCGGCCCGGAGGGTGTGAGCTTGAACCTGACCGAGCGTGGCCCCTAAGGGGCCCAGCCCCTCTTGTGAGCACAGATTTGGTGTTTGGCAGGTTTTGCCTCAAGCACGAACCCTGAAACCCTACGCCTGGTTCCTGTTCCTCCCCCCCCACCCCCCTCCGAAAATGTAAATTACAGAATCCCTGGATCGGATCGCACCCACTACGTGCGGCTACCAACCAACCCAACCGCATTCTTTTCATGAATATTCATCGAATGCTTGGCTCGGCTCCTGAGCTGCTTCCCCAGAGAGATTTCCGCCTTGAGACGGTCTCCGTGGACAGCCCTTGCTTGTGTACTTTCCATCCTGCCGAAATGAGCACAGCGCACATGGGCGCATTTTTAGTACCTTGAACGGGGTTGACACACCTCGGTCTCCCGCGAGGCCAGTAGCACGTACGCGGCAGGTTACAATCAAACACTAGCAACGTCGAGGTGGTCTTCCTACCACAGGGGTGTGGACCAACACCCTCAGCCCCTTTCCCTCGGATTACAGCCGGGGCCAACCGATCCCCAGTGCTGCGGGCAAAATGAATGAATCCGGACTGTAATTACCTATTCCTTTGTCTTGGCCTCGCGCATGCGCGGGAGAGCTGGGTGTGGAGGGCCCCGGCAGCCGCGTCTGATCTCTCCATCACCCACCCACCCACTCCCTTACGAGGTGGAGGAACAAAGGCGTTTGCCCTAAATGTTGCATGAAACCCTTGGGTAAAAATGACAGTCTCCCCTCCACCCCTACCCCCGTGTGTATGTTTCTTTATCAGGCTATCTCTCATCTTTTCTTTCTTAGTGATTTAAAATGACCAAAAAAAGATTAGCTTTTATAATGAGAGCGAATGTGTGGATTAAAGTTTTTAAAAATAGAACGCTATTATTTTACTTTCTAGTACTGCCCATTGTTCTTTTTCCTATAACATAGCACTGCAGTGATGGTCACTCTGAATTTGCATCAGTTAATGGTCTGACATTTTTTTTTGCTGCTGGTCTGTTGATTAAGGGACATTGGTCTCACTAGTTGAGAAAAACTGAGACATCCTGGCTTTTATAGGAACAAGATGGCCTACAAAACCCAGAGCAGATAAAATGGTTGTCAGGATCCTAACCCTTTTATTTTTCTCATGCCTCCTACCTCATTGTTTCAGTAGGAATCCCCAAAGGCAAACCCCGTGGAGATGGAAATCCACTCTTGGGGAGGAAGAAGGAAGTTCATCCATCTTTCTTTCTTTCCGTCTTTCTTTCTTTCCGTCTTTCTTTCTTTCCGTCTTTCTTTCTTTCCGTCTTTCTTTCTTTCCGTCTTTCTTTCTTTCCGTCTTTCTTTCTTTCCGTCTTTCTTTCTTTCCGTCTTTCTTTCTTTCCGTCTTTCTTTCTTTCCGTCTTTCTTTCTTTCCGTCTTTCTTTCTTTCCGTCTTTCTTTCTTTCCCTTCCCTCTCTCCCTCCCTTCTTTCCTTCCTCCTCCTCCTCCTCCTCTTCCTCCTTTGGCAATATTTAACAGAAGCCATAATACATATATACCTTTGGTTGATTTTCTCTCCAATATGAATTATCCAGGTTATGACATTTTAGATTTCTCTTTGGGCTACTTTGTTTACCATCCAAAAGGAGACATTGTGCATAATAAAATAGTGCTAAGTATATTTTTGCAGATAAATGTACTTATAGGAATTTCATACTTCAGCACACCCTGATGAGACAACACGTGGCAGGAAAATGGAAATCACCTCTTTTGTTCCTTCTAATAAAAACTTGGACCTTATGTAAAAGAGCCTATATTTGGTAGTTTAGCTACCTGGTACCTGCTCTATTCCTTAGTATTGAATGATTGATTATGATTTGGATGGCCACCTGTACGTTTTCTCTCTTATTTTTTTCTTTCCTGTTGGTTGTGTTTTTAAGGGAGAGGTGAGTTGAAATATAGACCAAATTCAATAGCAAGTATAAACCAATAAAACCCAAGTTCAATGAGTCTTAGTTTTTTGAGCAAAATAATTTTAAAATAGAATTTTTTAAAAAGATCAGTTGTCTTACTTTGTAGCTAGCTTGATTTTTGCCAAGCCTTAGCAGGTGGAGAAAGGAGCTAATTGGGCCTTTTGACAAAAATTCACCAATAGTGACTATATGGACAGTGGCATTTTTCTCTTTAACTAGTGCTCATGCTTTCATTGTGGCCCGTGGAAGAGAGCCCGTTCTCTCCCCAGATCACTCAAATGAAACCGTCCAATGGACGAGCTCAGCTCAAAGGGATTCAGCTCCCTGTTCGTGTGTGTGTGTGTGTGTGTGTGTGTGTGTGTGTGTGTAATAAAAAATCTTATTAATGATATGAAATTAAACCAGTTGGTTTAGAATATTATTTTATAGTGCTTCATATTTGTCTTTGGAAAATAATTTTCTTTTTAAATATGTATGTAAAAGGGAGCAAGACTAGCTAGTCTACTAACACGCTCATTTCCAATTTCTACCAGTGTTCCCCTAAAACAAATGGGTTTCATTGAACATTTAAAATGAAGATGTTCATTTAGAGGCTTAAAAACTCATATTAAACCCTACTGAATTTTAAAAACTGTAATAAACAATGCCTTCTAAATAAAGGATTTATAAAAATTGTTTTGTCTTATTTTTGTGATCTCTTGTACATTTTTGTTTGGAAAATGTCCCCAAAAGGCCTGTCAGTTATTATTTGCTAAAAGCATTTGCCTTTGGTGTCAGATTTCGTTGAAAGACATGCTTTAGTTTGCTTAGGCTTTTGTTTTTCTTATGTGTAGTTTTTATCTTCTCATTGTTGCACCTCCTTTATCAGAAGATTAACATCTTCTTAATGATAGTCTTAGCTGGTAAACTGGAAACCAGGTAAAACAACTTACACGTATAGACACAGGGAGATGATGTGGAATCTTCATTTTATCAAGTTTTCTCAACTTACTGAATCTTTATAATTTATTGTCTCTTAAGACTTGAGATAACCTAATGCAACATGAACTTTACTCTCTGGCTTAATGATTGTGGATTAATATCAATAAATGACTTTGAAGTTGCGAATAGTCAGAATGTTTAAAAAGAGTACACTCTTGTTGTGTTTTGGGGAAATATTTATTTATTTGCTTACTTACTTACTTATTTAGGTTTCCTAGGGAATAGTGGAAAGCAACTTGGTTTTAAAAAAATCTCTAAGTACTGGCTGGGCCACTTTGGGCAAAATACTTCAAGCCTCTCTGGATTTTACTTTCTTCTGTTTTAAAACTAGGATAATAATTCCTATTTTCAGGCTGTACTAAGGACCACACATATATGTGTAAAAAGTGCATAAATACAATAGCTGGCTCTTAGGGGCCCCTGGACTTCTCAGTCTACATTTCAACATACTTTGTGTGATTGACATCACTAACTAATTTCTGTATATTGAGCTATGTTTTTGTTTCATGCTGATTAATCAAGACCTGAGGGCTATGGGTGCATTCAGTCAGAAATAGGATATCTCATTCTCATAGATGCTAATATTTCCTAATCCAGAATTTCCGGCCTTATGGATGTACATATTTGAAATTCTGAGACAATGCATGGGAGTTTGCTGAAAGTGGGTTGAATGGAGACAGGATGACCACTCCCATTGAATTCCCCATGGCTGCTTATTAACTCAAGAGATGGCAATTTGAGTTCTTTTGAGAAAATATAGAGATAGTCTTAAAACCACGGAAATTCCCTGCCTGCCAAAGGAAA